AAATTATGACAGATATAATAATAATAATAATAATAATAATAATAATAATAATAATAATAATAATAATAATAATAATAATAATAATAATAATAATAATAATAATAATAAAAGAAAAAAATAGCACAAATTAGAAGTGGCAGTACATGAAAAGCTAGTCCCCCTTTGACTGATTTAGTTTAGAATCCCAAATTAGAGAGAGGCAATTTAGGAATTTGATGAAAGAATTTGCATCAGTTTTTTTACAAAAACTGCACCAGAAAGGATAATCTTGCACTGTTACAGTTTATAGAAATCAAAGGGGGGAAAAATACTGTCAGCACACTAATGTAACAAGCACAGTTTTTATTTTGCAACAGAACATAAAAAAATAAAAAAAAAAACGCATTATAACCCATCTAAATCTGGAGTGAACACAAATATCTACACCAATCGACTTCGTTTTGATTGCATTGAATCATTCTCCATGTCCCCAATGACGAAAATAATACTATCAACGATGATCGAGCGCGTTTGATCATCCACAGGTTCTGATTTTCTACTGTTAGGCCACCTGTACGGTCGAGATTCTACTCGTCTCGACACTAGATGCCGTTGGATCTCACCTTTATGAATTAAGAAATAATCATATCCTTCCCTTATGATCTTCCAGCCCCTTTATGAATTAAGACAAATGAAATCATGTCATGCCACAAAAAAAAAAGTACCCGTTTATGCTCGGATCTAAACATAAAACCCAAACTAACCATCAAACTACATAAATTAACCCCATAACAGTCTTGAAACTCAAAACTAATGGTTAACTCAAACTTGAATATCTTTTTTTTTGCACTTTTAACATAGGAAATGTTTAGCAAACGACATCATTTTTTTAAGAATACATGAATATGAAATGACCTAGATAGGTCACCAAGAGCAGTTCTACACAAACTAATGTAATGGTACAGTTTAACTCACAATCCAAATCGATCACAACGTTCTTCAACAATGTAGATGTCTTTCCATGATTTCGAACCGACAGGAGAATCAAATGTGGTGCGGTCATGATCAATGCCCCATCTTTTATTAAAGAGATTAGACCATAGAATATCATCCGAGGCTAAGTTTCTCCATTTCCTGCAGACTTGGACCAGAAAGCAAGGACTATGCATTCACATCTAAAACCACAATAGTACAACCATGAACCAACGAATGTGCATTGAATCAAATGAACCCTAACAGAAAATTACAGTTGAAGCATAATAAAGCAAACGCAGCTCATAGATTGACATAATCGTCATCCAAAAACTGCCCCAAATGCCTTCAGATTGAATCTCACAAATCGCAATTACAAATCAAGAAAAAAAAAATTGATGCTGACCTAATTGAGCAGCTGCAAGATTCTGATGATCCAGACAACAGAAAATTTTCAGGCAAAGATCAGCCGGCAATTTCT